TATATATAAAATTTTCATTAGATAATCGCTCCAAGTCATTCTCTTTGCTTGTCATCTTTCTCTGTACCTGAGGGAAGTATGGCATGTATGTAAACACTGAGTGTTCTATTTGTTTTGTTACTAAAAAGTATTTCAACAAATATTTAGAAATACTACTAATGTGTACATAAATGTAGACTATTTTCTTTTTTTAAGATTTTATTTATGTATTTTCAGAGAGAGGAGAATGGAGAGAAAGAGGGAGAGAAACATTGATGTATGAGGGAAACATCAATTGGTTGCCTCTCACATGCTCCAAACTGGAGGTCTGGCTGGCAACCCGGGCATGTGCCCTGACTGGGAATCAAACCAATGCTCTCAGTCCATTTGTAGGCCAACGCTCAATTCACCAAGGCACACAAGCCAGGGAAAATTTAGATTATTCTCTGATCACAGTTGCCAGACTGAGACACTTTCAAAGTCGGTTATTTATCTATAATTTAAAATTTCCCAATTGAAGCAGTCTCACAGTTTACAGCAACTTATGAATATTGATATCATGGCAAAATATTTTTAGAACATATTCTAGAACATAAGCAAGTTTTTATCTTAGACAAAATGTAATCTAGAGTATTATGAGTCAAATTAAATATAAAATAATATAAGATTGCTAAGAAGAAGAAGGTATGTTCTCCGAAGGAGAAAAGAATTGATAGGCTCCATAATCAACTGTGAGGATGGGAAAAGGGACTTCCCAAGTCGGTTGCCATTCCTCTGACAGAGAAGGTTTTTACTTGGGAAAACACCGAGGGTGAGAAGCTGAATGTCCCCATTTTAATAATTGATCATTTCCCTCCCACTCTTTGTCTGAAACAGAAAAATCAAATTGAAGTACACAGAAAATGGAACGAGGTGGGCTCTAATGGTGGCCCTGCTTTCTTTGGGCAGGGCAGGTGGGTAAACTATGGCTCACTTTTTTCTGGAGTAAGGCCAAGTGAATGATGTAGTAACACTTTTAGCACATACCATACCATAGCCATTCATGTTAAACGAGTCAAGGAAAATAAAAGCTAAAATGAAATGAAGCCATTTCAAAATAAAAAATGCCTTCTCGTTTTGGGTAGACATGAAGCACTACAACAGGACCTGATGACGTTACCAGCACACAACTAGATCACCTGTAATTTTAGAAAGTCCCCAGACAGTTTAGAGTGCTTCAGATTTAACAAGAGTTTCAAATTTCAAGATGCTAAAGAAAGTTTGTGTGTAACATAATAAACTGCTGACTATTAGACAGATAAAAGAAAAGTTGTGCTCTGATTAGTAAATATTTCCACCCTTTGCATTAATTTTCATCATAAAAAGCTGGTAATTTATAACATTTTACCTAAAGTTTTGCTTCCAAAGTTGTGATCAAGACCAAAAACATAGAATCAGATGAGTATGTAAAAGGCAGCAAACCACAGGTTGAAAAATAACATTAAAATATAGTCAGTCAGTGTGAAAGGCAGTGTCTCGTCTATATATATTAGTAAAGCTATGAGTTCAGGACTTGAGGAGCAAGATAATGAAATTTTGAGATTTCACTCCAGTACGTAAAGACACAGTTACAATGAAGTACAGAATTGGGAGTCCCATAAAAAGTGTTCTCAGTTTTTTTCTCATTGCAGTGCTAGTTAACTGCCTGACCAAGGGTCCTCTGCCCTTCCCCATTCACACAGACGCAGGCCAAGGGAACACTTGGAAACAGAGTATGGCTATCAGCAGCCCATAAATGCAACAGAGATTTCCCAAGAATCGCACTTAGGGTTAGAGGAAATCAAGGATGGAGAGTGTCTTAAAAAGAATATCCACGAAGAGGTGTCCGACCCTAACCTCATCTGTGGGAGCTGGAGAGAAGAGAAACAAAGACCTAGTTATGCAGACAACATTAAAACAAACACATGTACAACATTGATAAGCGTTTTGCTTAAAGGGAGAAAATAACAGGAAGGGCTGAAAGTCTCCACACAGACTAATCTGATTGATGAAAATATATTTCCTTTCTTCTTCTGGTCTCCTTTATAAGACAGTGTACAAAGTGTTCATTTGTATTTTCTTTGTTTTTATCCCAAAGCTAAAAGATCAAAGAGTTAATAAAACCTCCTTGCTATAGAGGGTCATTACAAAACTAAATGCAGCAATTCAAACTGGCAAATAGGATGAATGCCAACGAGATGCTTAACGAAGTAACATTCTAGATGTATTCTTTGAAGAACATTTGTGGTCTCGTTTGATTGCTTTAGAGCGTGCAGGGCAAAATGTGTCCCACGCAAAGCTGACGCTGACTGATGGTTGTGCGCTCCCAACCAAGGCCAAGCTGCTTGGAATCACAAGTATATTTGATAGAGAATTACCTAATATGGTGCAAATATTCGTGAGTATTTTGCATAGAAAACTGATATTAAAAACTTCTCCTTTCTTTCCCCCCTTAGGCCTAATTAAATGTCCAAACAAGACATGAGTCTATTCATTTGAAAAATAATTTGAAGTGCGATTTTTCCAAGAACTGACAATGTTGGATGGCAAGGTAAGAGATTAGCTTGATATTTCTTATTAGCTACTGAGATCCTTATTTTTTTTCTTCTTTGTCCTTCTGTACTGCTGACATCCTGAGAATGGGAGCAAATGTAGAATATAGAGAGGTAGCCTGGGAAATTGTTGACGTTGCCATATTGATTTATTCAAAAGAGACAGGCTAGTATGCTGATCTTGCATTTTCATGTGACCTGTCAAAATGGGCCGTTCACCACAGCCCCGAATCTCAGCATTAGGACCCATGAGGTTTCTTTCTGAAAAAGAAGCAGTGGGAGAGTCTAGGACTTCGGAAGTGACTGTCCTGCTAGTAGAGCTGTGGCTCTGTGGCAGCACAGAGGCCAAGGGCAGAGGGTATTCAGTCTCTGACTGAGGTTTTAAGCAATTTCGTTTTGAGGTAGAGGGAGTTCTTTCTTAGGGTAATGTAGAGAATGAATTAGAAAACTGGCAAAGCGTGGTATTCAGATAATGATTCCACTAAAAGGAGGAGAATTATTAAATTACAGCATAGGAATGTAAAGATATCTGAGATTAAATTTAAGCAATTAAACTTTTTAATTATTTGGGACAAATATTTGCCCTATTTCACCATAAAATGAAACTGTTTTGAAGTACCATTGAATGTTGTGTTGATGCCAATAATCTCTTTTTTTTTCTTTTTGCATCAGTGGTGCATGTCACCTTCCTGCAAAGCAACCAGTCTGCAGATCTGGCCAGAGGAAAGATTACTAGGCAACAAAACGAAAAGGAGGCATAAGTCAGCTCAGCTCTCTGAACCCTAGGAAAGGCAACTTCCCTTCCACTCATGAAAGAGGACGATTGTGTTCAGTACCACTTATCTGGTGCCAACAATCTGGTAAGCCCTCTATTCACTGCTACACGAGAGCTACAACAAGGTGACCCAGAGTTAGGGGCCAAGGTCAGGGAAAGGTCACTGCCTGAAAAATGAAACCAGTCAAAAGGAAAGAATCTTAGGAATGGGTGAGGTTAGTCATCCACAAAAGTAGCCCAACCCAAAAATGGCACAGAAAAGCATTTTTTAATGGAACCCAAGATTTTAGCTCTTTTAAAAAGTTCTGCTGGCCCTTGCAAACTGGTGCCAGGATGCTCTGAATTATAATCCTAGGAATCAGCATTTTTGTCACTTAAAGTCCTGTAAACTCCTTCCACTCCTTTATCTCTGCTTTCCAGAGTCTTCAATTCCCTCCTCCCTTCTCTGTTCCTTCTTTCAACCATCATCCCAACTTCAAAACTAAAGAACAGACAATAGGTATGAAGACACCCTCACTCTGTTGTTTGAAACCCTCTCTGAAGGATGGTCAGCTTCCTCAACATCTTCCTGGTGCCCTCCTGTAAATGTACAGTGTCAGATACAGGCCCCCATGATGATGTTAGCTGGCCATGGAATCTCATGAGTACTCATTTGAAATAAGCCTCTGAAAAGTTCAAGGAACCTTGATGGTTATAATATTTATTTGCCCTTTCATAGTTTTTCTTATCTCATTTGATGCATTTGAGTGCTTACAGGGTACCTGTTATGAGCAAAGGCTACAGGATGAAGGAACATGGGCTCAAGGTTACTTATTTTCAGCTTTCAAATGAGCAAACAGGAAAAAATGATATTCTCCCCCTGGGTCGCAAAATAAAAATATTTCACAAATAAATCCCCTCTAAAACTGTATCACTTTAAAGATGTGAAAAGAATAAGTGTACTGGAGAAAAGGTTTTTATTTTAAATAGAAAGCTAGGTGATGATATGCACAACTAAAATGGTTACTATTCATCTGGCTTCTTTTTCTAAGAAACCCCAAAATCATAAAGTTAGAAAGTATTTGATTACTTTTCTTCAGTGTGTACAGGAATGGAGAGAGAGATTTCAAATTCTTTTTGTTTTATATTTGTTGTCAAGAATTCATATAAGAAAGTCAATTTTATACAAAATAACTTCACAAAATTACTTTTAAGAGAGTCAATTTCCATATATCAACTTCAGTAGGTCATATACTATGTTTTAATATAAGCTCCTTAGTTTTATTAGTGCATTATAAATTATTTATCTTGGAAAAATACATTAAAAACAGAATTAGAATGTCTTTGGTTTATATAGCTCACAGAATTAAGTTAAAATAGTATAATATATGTTATACAGAGAGAAATGTAAATGTTGCCTAAAAGAACATTTTTGAGTCAGTTTCACATTAAACATCGAGTAGAGAAGTTGACTTATCTTAAAATACAGCAAGTCACTACATCACTCTGCTACAAGCAACCGTTTTGTTTGTAAATAAGGATGAACTGACAGTGCTTGAAAGTGTAGTTCATCAAAATCACAACAAGAAACCAAATATTATGAACATGTAAAATTCCATGTTTATTTAATATCCATTACATAGACAGTTCATTGAAACCAGACTTTGTGAAGACAAATAACATTTCTGATGAACATAAACAATATCCTATAGTTGGAATTTATCCTGTATTTTCACATGAATAAAGATGTCATTATGCAAGAGTTTCAGCAATAAAGACCTCGCATAAATTGGCATGGCATCTCTCAATGCTTCAGAGTGGCACCAGCCTCCGTCAGCTGGAGATGAGAGATATTAGCAGCTTTGCATCAAGGAGCTCGATGATCAGCATGTCTAAACTCAGCTGTCACAGAACGTTTCCCCAATGCCTGAGTTGGTGTCCAGTGTGGTCTGTATCAGGGATACACATCCAGAGTGCACATTCCTAGCACAAAAACAAACAAAAAAAGTAAAGGCAATACGTAAAAATGCTTGTTCTGGTCAAGGAGAAGTATGAGTGTTAATAATACAAATGATTATTCTTTTAAGAATTAATTATATTTATTAAAGTTTACTATGTTAAGGACTTAATACTTATGACTGTATAAAGTGGCCACAAGATTACTTTAAAATAAGCACTGTAGTTATATTGTATTATAAATAAGGAGGCTAAGCTTGACAGAAGTGAACAATTTTTAATGTAGTTTCACAGTAAGCAGTAGAACCAGAAAGCCTTTGTGGCATCAAATACAGCCCAGGGAAGGATAGCAGCCCCTGTGCCTGATGCTGTGAACAAGCTGATGGCTTCCGCAGAGCCATTCACAGCCCTTTTCAGCCTTGTTTTTCTTTATCATGGAGACTGGAAAACTAAAATTTTTGACATTCTAAAGAGACTGCTTTCTGTCTTGTAATCTCTTTTGTTTCAATTTTTACATCTCAAACCACAATAGAGTTCTTGCTCCTAGGAGTGACCATGTGATAGATTCTGACCAATGAGATGTAAGGTGAAGTTGCTCGCTGGGGCTTCACAGAACATTTTTGACAGTGGCAGGCTCAGTTGTATAGCATATTTCTGGTTAAGAGAATAGATCTTGTGTTAAGTGTTGTAGCCACACACAGATAAAGAAAAAGAGATAGATTCTTGATCTTTTCACTCCTTCACCTTTCTCCTTTTTTTAATGTACAGTCATTTTATCTTTTTTTATTGATGTTCAAGTACAGTTGTCTCCATTTTCACCCCAACCTGTCTCCCAGCCCCAGTTAGCCCCACCTCCCACCGTCAAACCTACACCATTTGGCTTTGTCTATGTGTCCTTTATATATCTTCCTTGATGGCCATTCCCCTATTATTCCCCATTATCCCTCTCCCCATCCCCTCTGGTTACTGTCAGTTTGTATTTTATTTCAATGTTTCTGGTTATATTTTGCTTGCTTATTTGTTTTGTTGATTAGGTTCCACTTATAGGTGAGATCATATGGTATTTGTCTTTCACTGCCTGGCTTATTTTACTCAGCATAATGCTCTCCAGTTCTATCCATACTGTTGTGAAGGGTAGGAGCTCCTTCTTTCTTTCTGTTGCATAGTACTCCATTGTGTAAATATGCCATCATTTTTTTATCCACTCATTTACTGATGGGCACTTTGGCTGTCTCCAGCACTTGGCTATTGTAAATTGTGCAGCTATGAACATTTGGTACATAGGTTCTTTTAAACTGGTGTTTCAGGGTTCTTAGGGTATAATCCCAGCAGTGGAATTGCTGGATCATTTTTAGTTTTCTGAGGAAATTCCATACTGTTTTGCACAGTGGCTGCATTAGTCTGCATTTCCAACAACAGTGCACTAGGGTTCCCTTTTCTCTACAACCTCTCCAGCACTTGTTGTTTGTTGATTTGTTAATGATGGCCATTCTGACCTGTGTGAAGTGGTATCTCATTGTAGTTTTAATTTGCATCTCTCTGATGGCTAGTGATGCTGAGCATCCTTTTCTATGTCTCAGGGCCCTTTGTATGTCCTCCTTGGAGAAGTGTCCAGGTCCTTTGTTCTTTAATGACTATTAAAATACCAATAACATATTTCACAGATATAGAACAAATGTTTAAAAAATATATATGGAATGATAAACAACCCCAAATAGCCACAACAATTTTGAGAAAGAAGAACAAAGTAAGAGGGATCCACCCTTCTTCTTTATCTATCCTAGATTATTCATCTTCAGATTTGTTGATACATAAGAGAAAAAAATTCTTTCTGTTAAGCCTTGTGATTTGGTGCTCATGGCTAACTACACTGATTACCTAAGACTGCTTTCCAGACCTACTACATTTTATTGCTCTTTGTTTTATTGTGCTTCATAGATATTGCAGTTTTTACACATTGAAAGTTTGTGGCAACCCTGTGTTGAGTTTATTGGCATCATTTTTCCAACAGACTCAGATGATGGTTAGCATGTTTAGCAATAAAGTGTTTTTTATTAAGATATGTACTTTGTTATTTAGACAAGTTATTGGACATGTAATAGACTATAGTCTAGTGTAAACATAATGTTCATATGCATAAAAAACAAAAATATTCCTGTGACTTGCTTTATTGTGGTATTTGCTTTATTATGGTTGCCTAGAACCAAACCCACAATGTCTCTGAGGTATGCTTGTATAAAGTTTTGTGATTTACTGGGAGGGGGAGGAATAATTACTAATATTTATAAAAATAAAAGGATAAATGACTGAGTCATATATCAATTGCAGTATATTCTGTACCCTATTTCTACAAATAAGTTAATGTTGGATGAGTTTCTTTTCATTCAATATGAAACACTAGCACATCTGAAATAGCTCTCCATTCTTCTCGCTGTAAGTGTGCAGGTTAAAGTACAAGACAAGGCCTTGGGCTGTGTGCACACAAAGAATGGCTATAGCCCTCATCAGAGGGTTTCCAAATCCAGAACTGAACCCGTTGTTAGGCCCAACAGATAAGAAGAAAATCCAAGAGATAAAAATAAGAAATTTTTAGAGAAGGTGGATGCTTGGACTTTTAAACTGTTTGTCTGTTAAATTGAACAAAACTCGCTTCCTAACCCTACTCCTCCTGTTAATGATTGAAATCCCATGTTCAGCCCTCACTGAGTGTGGGATCTTAGACATGGTTGTTTCTCTTTTTGAGATTAGCAATTGTTTTCAACCATAAAATCAACATTTTGCAACCCATTCCATAGGATAGTTTTTAGGGTTAACAAAAACAATGAATGGGAATTGCCTGGTACAGTGCCTGAAAACAGTTAACAGATTTTAATTCTTCTTCATGCACTTAGTTCCCCATCACGCATCCCCTTTGACAGAATGATGACTTCAACAGCCTCTGGCTAACCTCAGAAAGCCTTTTTTGGCTTTTCTTGCTTCATAGCCCAGTAGCCATACAAAGACATATATTAGTAAAAGAGATACCGTAAGGATGTAAGCTTCCTAAAGCTAGTAACCATGTTTTAACAATGTTCACATTCCCCAGTAACTTGAGTTTCTAAAGAATTTCTACTTAGGATATCTGAACAAAAAAAAATTTTAGCCCACTAATATTACCATTTAATGATTTATCAATTGAAATGAGTCATCTTTTTCAAAGCTCAATTTTGTCAGCCTTTACTATCCATCAAGGACAGTACTTGAAGACCCATAAAGCAATTGTGAACAAAGGCAAACCCATATTTTGGATGATAGTGTGAAAGCATAAAAAAATCCTACAAAATAATGGTTGTTTAGTGTGAACTATTCAGTAAGTAGGTACCTTTATACATTGTCCCTAATCTTCTCCACTCTGCAAAATGGATGTCAGCCACACACTACAGAAAGGATTACCAAGGGTCAGAGCCTTGCCTGTCACTAATTCAGAGAACTTAACAGAGTCTGACTTCAGATCTCTCATATTCCAACGTTTAAGCTCGTTGCCCTCTATATAGTGCATTCCAGAAGAGGTGAAGATTATGAATTTCTGGAAAAAAAGAGAAAAAGCCAAAAAAATCATGCATGTAGTTTGGTATAAAATAAGGTTTAGGGACTTTAATTATTTAGATCTATAATATAACATCATTTACTGCAAATAAAAAACAATAATAATGTCCAATATTACTAATCATGCATACAGAGGTATCTTCACAACATTTCTGTGAGACTGTTACTACTTCCTCATATGAACAGATGTTGAAGTTCACAGGGAGAAATAGCGTTCCTAAGCAACAGACCTTGGACTCACACTCGGAACCTGTTGCTTGGTCCAGAGTTTTTCCATTGTGCTGCCACATTCTGCTCTCCATGAAACTTGACTTGAATGTTAGTGAAAAAAGACAAAGAAGGGGATGAGGATATGGAATAATCACCATCTTTGTCTCTTCTTCCTTCCATTATCTAACATGTTTTCTGCTGAGCAAGGTTTTCTTTTCTTTTTTTTTTTTAACAGAGTGTCTTCTGAGAAGTCATTCTGATAAAGTATGTATTCAATAAAGCAAGTCTTCCCACTGAGCATGATTTAGGCAAGTATTGGAGTGATTTTCTAAAAGTCTTTTCGTTCATGCTTGGTTTTCAGTGTGTCCTTTTTCTTCTCCTTAATGTATGTTTTCAAAAGAGCAGTGAGAAATCAGTTTAAGAGCTAGAATAGCTCTGGGATGTTTAACAGGTGCTGGAACTCATGTTTAGGTCACCAGTTCAGATCCAAAGATATATGGTTCTCTTTTCTTCTAACCTGTGACTTCAAGTAAGACCAGACTGATATCTTTAAACTGGTATATTGTACCATAAAGCCATTCCTTCCCTACTTTGATTTAGATGCGTTGGTGAGGAATTAACTAGGATTGTTACCACTGAGAACTAGCAGGGCAGTAACCATCATTCATTCCAGTGATACATGGTGTCTCTTATGCTGTTAGAAGGAGAGCAGTTCAGTATAAGCAACCAGGTGAGGTAAGGTAGCATATATTCTTTTAAAAAAATTATTTTTGAGTACAGGAAAGGGGGGATTAGGGCAAGCAACAGAAAAGGCATCAAGGAGTAGTTGACAAGGAAGAAAGATAATGACGATCCATGTTTAGACTAATTAGAAATATTAGAAGGAAGGACCAAATGAATCAATAGCTAAACATGGGAATAAAAAAAGAGTCAAATGCCAGTTGTATCAAGTTTGAAAACTAGAGAACCCTGGAAAAATATAAGTAAAGGTTGAAGACGAAAGCAGTTAGTTTAGTACTCTATTATTCACAATTATCTTTCTGATGATCATAAATGTTAAAAACAGTGTGTTCAGGTACTTTAAGGAAATAAGCCTAAATAAGGAAGACTCAATAATATTTCTAGATAATATCCTTGTTCCTGGAGTGGACCAAAGATGTAAAAGTTTCCTTCAGAACCAAGCACTTGCAAGGTCTTCTTTCCATTCAGCCAGGCCATACTTGACATATTTCTCATTTTATTCCTTCTTGAACTTCTGTTTATTACTGTGCAATGCTGCATTAGCAAGAGTAAACACTTTTCTCTCTAACAAATACTTACTAATTTAATCTTCATAACAAAGCTCTGAGATAGGATCTATTATTATCTCCTCTTTACAGATGAGGAAAGTGGTACAGAAGGGTCAGGCAACTTGCTGAGTTCATACGGACAGTCAGTGCAGTTAATATATTGATAGTCTTCTGAGAACATGACTCCACTACAAACAAAGCTATAGGTGTGTTTCCAAGTATTTAGTGGGTCCATGACTGACCTGCAAGAGAAATTGTTTTTTATTAAGAAACTAAAGTATGGAACAGGGAATATAGTCAATTATAGTATAATAACTATGTGTGGTATCAGGTAGGTACTAGACTGATTGGGATGATCACTTTTGTAAGTCATCTAAATGTCTAACCCCTATGCTGTACACCTGAAACTAATATAATATTGTATGTTAACTGGAACTAATGTTTTTTAAAGTTTCTAAAAAAATAAAAATAAAAAGTGTCAATGTTAATTAATTAATTCATTTTAAAAGAAACTATTATTTAATTCCTAATCTATTTAGGCATGCAAATTATAAATTTCAGAAATGAAATGATATCTTATCTACATAACAATTATTATTATATGTACATAGAAATTTAATGAGGAATCTAAAAACTATAGTATTTTAAATGGATTTGTTCTGAATGCTCAGCTAGAGTTGACTGGACATCTCTTTGAGGTCTAGTTTACAAATAACAAAAGACTGCTATATTTCCACCATCATTTCTGGCACTGTAACATTGTTTGTATTAATGGAAATGCTAGTTCAGTTGGTGGCATTTTAAACAAGAAAGCGGAGTCTGTACTTTGGAGCTGAACATATAATTAGAAAGGTGATGATGAACTAAACTATATTTATACAAGCATTTGAAATAATAACTTATACATCCTGTAGACTCTTTTTTCCCTTTTAAAACAAGCATACGTGATACCCTATTGGTTTATTTCTTGGCGTCTTATTCATGCTGTATATCTTCCTGCTGAATATAATATCTAGTCATCATTTTTTAAATTAGGTTTATCTTTCTTGCTGGGTACTTAGATAAGGTAAAATCTAAGGATTCCTCAATTTGTTTCATTATTTTTTGAAATCAGAATTTCAACTAGTGGTAATTAGAATGACAGACTCCTCAACTGTATGTCACAGTAGGTGAGGGTTTGAATAGGTGTGCATGCGTGTGTGTGGTCCATTCATGTTCAAACCAGACTATTTCACTGGTGGCAAAAATTGGGAATAGAGATTAGTAAATATGCTCTCTCTGTGGGGGAAAAAATGAAAACTTAAAATGAGGTGGACGTTCCCTGTATTGCATATTTATTTACTAGTCAAAGTCATAGAAAACCCAAACTCATTCCAGGCTTTTTGAAAAGTAAACTAAAAAATGATTAAGCATCTCTGATAAAAGTGTGCGTATATGGCTGAAATGCAGAATGCCACAGATGAAAAGAAAAGCAACTTCCTATACTTCCTGAAAAAAAAAAAACTATACTCATCAAAAATTACTTCTAAACAATCTACTGAATAAAGTGTGAACATATTAGCCTGAGGCTTTTCTGAAGTTTTCCTAAAAATCGCAAACCTAAGTTTCGATCTCTGGCCTTTTTAGAAGAACGAACTCTCCATCCGTATATCCCAGACATATGCTATCCAAGAAGACACCAGCATAAAGTACAGTGGAGTAGTAGTTCTCAAAATGTGAGCCAAGGACTCCTGGAAACCCATGAAAATCTTCCATGTAGCCCATGGATGGTCTTTGTATTACATTGGATATTAAATATCAGTGTCAATGACCATTTTGTTCTGGCATGAGCTAATAATTTACTTACAATATATAGTAAAATTGGGTGTCAGCTCACTATTGCCTCATGGAGAAGATCACTAATTCTGATGCATTATGTGGTTGGCTATGGCTGGAGTATGAGGGGTAGGTAGCACAATAGACGCTTTGGGTCTATCCAAGTAGCCTGAGGCTTGAAATATTTTTCTAGTCATGTTCTTGGACAGCCACTTCTTTGGTATCCTGATATTTCCAGACTGCTGAAGGTATGATAGTTTACTGATCTTATATTCTATGAGAAAAAGTTTACACATTCTAAAGGAGTTAGGTTTCAAATGACTATATGGAGTGCAATTTTCCACTGGAATAATTTCTCTTAATTTTGAACTTTAACTATCCCCATTGCTATACTCTCTCCCCAGAGTACTATCTTCTGACTGCCTTTCAGCACATTAACCTATTCCTCCCAATCTCACATGGTAGCAGCGTAACCACAGGGATTATGGCCTGCTTGCTTTTTCCCTCCCTCCCTCCCTCCCTCCCTCCCTCCCTCCCTCCCTCCCTCCCTCCCTCCCTCCCTCCCTCCCTCCCTCTCTTCCTCTCTTCCTCCCTCCCTCCCTCCCTCCCTCCCTCTCTTCCTCCCTCCCTCCCTCCCTCCCTCCCTCCCTCCCTCCCTCCCTCCCTCCCTCCTTCCTTCCTTCCTTCCTTCCTTCCTTCCTTCCTTCCTTCCTTCCTTCCTTCCTTCCTTCCTTCCTTCCTTCCTTCCTTCCTTCCTTCCTTTTAGCACCTAAGAGTATACTCCATAGAACCAGTTTCAGTGAATGTATGAAAATACCTAAAGTGGGTGACGTGCTGTACAATGATACTTGATTACCTAAATGTAAAATTACTCTCATAAGAAAAATAAAAAATATAATACCAGTGCTTCTAAAAATGTACAACCACCTCACATCATGAGAACATGTCTGCTGATATAAAGGGCCCTTCTGTGACAACCTCAGTACCCTGAATAATCATTTGCAAAACAACAAAAAACACTGGCCTCCATTTTCGTATCATTGCCTCCCTGCCTCACACATAAAATTCGATATGAATTTTAAAACCTAATCTCAACCCCAAGGTTTAGACCTACAAACCTTAGGTTTCACTAACTGATTCCATCCAGTTTTGTAATTGCACCTATACTGTATTCTTCAAACATCTTATAACATGCTCTTTTGTGAGCAGTCAAGTTTCAAAGAAACTGACCAATCTGTCACTACGCAGGGCTCCTACTATAAGATTACTTCTCTACCGGCACCTTTCTGGCCCACCAGAGGGTGTGTGGAAGAGGAATACTATGAAAAGACTATTTAAGTCTGGTCATTGAAGCAGTTAAACAATGCATCAGACAAAAATGATATCACTCTCTTAATAAATTAAACTTCTTAAAAGACTGAAGGGGAAAGTTATGAACTATTACTTCACATTTGAGTTTTTGAGATATTTAGCTCCTGAGCCCAAAGTCTCCAGCTTTCATACTTCTGCACTTCTGTGTAATTGTTCCCTCCATGTGGAGGGTTCTTCTTGCCGCCTCCAAGACAGTATCTCCCACAGCAGCTTCGTGATTTTTACCATATCAGTGATTACAGCTTTTCTGCAATATTTGCTCTGCTCTATTCGTTGCACTAATTTTTTACTTAATTTGTGGCTTTACATAAACTATTATTATTTTTAACTTAAATAAATGTGTTTTAAAAGGAAGTTTTGTGTCCATGCCATAAATAGATGGTAACCCAGGAAAATTAGTTTAATGAAAACCATACAGTATTATTAAATTCTAGCTCCCCATAGTTACCTGCTGAAAACTCTGAGCCCGAGGCTTGCCTTCTATTTCTTAAAAAGGAAAAGTGTTAGCAAGTTCTTTGTCAGCTCCAGCCTGAAACTTTCTTCTTGATATAATTAGAAGTGTCAAAAAACCTGAAAGGAAGTGAATTTTCTCATTATGTCATTCAGTATCGATATGCCTCCTAAAATTATCTTATACACACTAATGGTACATAGCCCTCAACTTGGGAAGCACTGGGTTGAATGTTGTCTAAGGCCTCTGCCAGCTATAATAGTTTATTATATTATAAATCACTAATTTCAGTTCACAGATACAAAAAAGGCACAGAGGTACATTCTTTTCTGAAAAGCGGAGGCACAAACATCTTGTAGGAAGAGCAGACTCTTCTCTCTATTCCGTGACTCTGAGTAACTTGTTCAGACATGAAAAGGTAATGAGGAAGTGTGAATAAGAGCAGGATACAACTGGTCAACTTGATTTGGTTGTTGCAAAAGATCTTTATCTAACAATCAAATTGAAATATATCGTGGAAGGAGTTGAAACTATTTTGGGCAGAGCTGACAGGTGAATGCTGCGATCAGTTTAACAAAGTAGCTGTAAGTTCGGTAAAAATGCTAAACTTACTCAAACTTGTTCTAACCACCCAGTGACCATTTAAATGCTGAAAAAAATGTTTTAAAAACTGATATGAATAGATTTTTTCATTCACAATTTTTGTGGGTTTTTTGCTATGAACTTATACAATTAGACAAAGTAAAACCTGAGTTCAAAAACTTTGCTTCCTCCATCTGTAAAGTGCTTCTAGAGTTACACAAATGACCAAAGTGTATCATCTTTTTGTTATCCAGCATGAAATAAAATGAATAATTAAAGCTGACCCACGTAGAAAGTAGCAATAGAAAACTAGTGGAAAGATTCATAGTTATTTTGGTCTTCTGCAAATATAAACACCATAATGGCAACTACGATATCAATATTTTTCAATAATACATTTTATTTAGACAAAACTAGAGGAGTTCCATCTATCTGCCCGGAACTTAGAAGGAGTACTTTTCATAGGATTAAAGTTGGTGTTAGTCATTTCAGTTACTCACTTCCAAATATGAGATAGGTAGCCCACCCTCACTAAAAGCAGCCTCAAAAAAGTTGCCACAGCCACCTGCCACCGTGAGATAGAATTTTCAGTTCACACAAGCTTCTGATGTCCCCTTTTGCCTTCAACTACTTAATTCCTACTTCACTGTGCTTAGAAAACAAGGAACCTGAGCCAGGCCCACAAGTTGCACAGCAAATTACCCACAGTATCTGCAAAACCGGATGTTGAGTTGGAATCTTGAAATTCAATGGCTTAGTATTTTGGAGCGCAAGGGCCTTGGAACAAGATTTGGATTTCACGTTCAGGTTCATCTCCACCACTAACGGCCACACTGAGCACCTCCATTATCGTCACTGATTTTCAGTGTCTCCTCTAAAAAAAGGGCGAGGAGGGATCTTTATAAGCCATTTCTTGCTTCAACATTTAATGATTCTAATTCCTATAGTGTTACAGGGATATTGAACATTAAAAATAATGCTTGATAATCTCAGACTTTAAAGTAGCAACCCAGTCTTAGAGGTTTTAAAAAGAATAGGCAGCATAAACTCTCATTAGCAAGTCATGCACTTTATTAAGGAATTAATAATAGACCCACAATTAGACAGATAATTGTGTTTTCAATTGGCTGGTTAACTCACTGACTCTGCTATATATTGACCTTCAGAAAGTTAAAGAATGGTAGTTGTGGACCTAACCATTAAGTAGTTGATCTTTAAACATACCTGTATTAGTATTTTATTGATCGCACTTCATTTTAATTGTAGTGTGATTAAGATTCTAAAGACATAACTATTTCCTTTATGCGAGAACCCCAGAGAACAGTAGCTTTGAAACACTTAACACAAAAATAAACACTGACTATTACCCAACAGTTACGCATAAACTGTCTGAGTAACTAGACTAATATAGACCTTCATGTAAAACCAGTGATTTACACTGAGCTTCATGGGAAGAGCATGTTTCCACAGATGTGCAGAATACTCCCAGCCTAGAAGCCTAGCTGGGAAAATGCATACAAACCTTTACTTTTCCACAACGGTTCCATCCTACAACCTCAAACTGAAAGCCAAAAATCTACATTTTCAAAACATTTTGTCAAAACCACAGGATTACTTTACTTATTGTAAACTTTTACTAAAATTTGATAATTTGTAAACACACAAATTTTAACTCTAATATTCTTCTCTTTTCCAAGAGCAGTTATTCTGACTTTAAGAAAAGAGCCCCGACCATTATGGCTCAGTGTCTTGGTCCACGTCTTGCAAAGTGAAAAGTCGCAGGAATCAAAGGTTCGATTCCTAGTTAGGGCACACGCCTGGGTTGAGGGTTTTCTCATCCCTGGTTGGGGCACATAGGAGAGGCAAGCGATCTATGTTTCTCTCTCACCTCAATGTTTCTTGCCCTCTCTTTCCCCCTCCTTTCTTCTTTCACTAAAAAGAAATAAACAAAATCTTTTTTGTAAAAAGTAGCAGGTAATAATAACTTCAGTCAGCCAACATCTGTTGAGATTTAGCTACTCTTAATAGATAAGTGATAAACTTCAGTAGGAACCTGGCTCAGCTTATTATTCAAGTTATTCCAGCGGAGTGATCTTCAGTTTAGTGGAGTTCCCATCTCCTGATCATTTATTCAGCAAATTATTAGGGCTGACCATGTATATCAAGCACATCATAATCTTCTCATGTACATTTTTATCAAGCTGTATTTTTCCAATGACTCAAATATAAAACATCTAGTGACCCAAGCTTGGAATCATATTTTAGAGGCCTAATATCAGCCCTACAGAGAGAAAAGAAAAGGAAGCCTGAAGCTAGAAACCGTGAGAGAGTGTTCTCTGCCCGAGATGGCCAGATTTCCTTCAACGCTGCTCAGACTCTCTTTTCCTGAATTACACGCTTTTGCACACCTGATTTTCTTCAGCATGAGGAGGTAGCTCTGCAGAGTAAGATCAGTGTCTCCACGACCACATTTGCTTTTGAATCCTGTCGTCCCCACTTACTAGATGTGGAACTTAGTAAGTTTTTAAAACCTCTTTAAACCTAAGTTTCTTCTCTAAGTTGAAAATAATAATATCCTACTCAAGGTTGCTGCAGGGATAAAATAAAATAATGTGAGTACTGTGCCAGCAAATGATAAGCACTCAGGAAAGTGTAGCTTCAATTTAATCTTGTCATTAGGAGAGCAGAGAGATGACAGATGAACTAAGATTTATTAAGTTCCAAGTACTCCTTGGGCAAAAGAGGTTCTAGAAATTACCCTCTTCCCGATCTCTCTCCCCACCCCCACCCACTGTTTCTTCTTTATGAATCTGAGAACTGATTCTCAGCCTGTGGACCATCTTTCCCTGCATCTCTTCTTTCTAAATCCTCACGATCCATTTTAGAAATATCACTGTACATCCACAAAACCATTAGCAGGGAAAAAGTGCAAAAAAATAGTAAAGATTCAAGCCATTACCTTAAACTTATTTATTAGTAGATGTTTCTAAGTGGTGAAATTAATAATGATTTTTGTCCTCTTGACTTATGCTTTTTGCATTTTCCAAATTTCTACATTGTCATGTGTTACTTTTATATTTGAAATATATTTTTAAAAGGATGTGTGTGTGTGAGTACATAGCTGGAGGAAGTTACTTGTTAAATTCAGTAAAGATGTGGTTGTAGGAGATTGTCTGAAATAACTGGAGCGTGCGTGAGTACTTAGAGAAAATTATTTTAGAAAAAAACAGGACTCAGACTTAGAAGACATTGGTTTAAATCCTAGTACAATGGTTTAGTAGCTGTATGACCTTAGTCACTAAACCTTTCTAAGCCTCATATTTTCATCCATAAAATGGGTGGTAAGACCTTTCTACACTTAATGCCTTGAAGACTGAGGTTGCATGTTAAAAAATGTATAATATATGGCATAGAATCAGAGCTCAGGTGGCTTATAACCTGACAAATATCTAAATACTTTTTAAAAGTAGAATTAACCAGAAAATTTAGGTTAAAAATTTCTCCACTAATTAGCATTATCTTATGCATTTGAATGTTCCATCTGTATCTGAAGTGTACCATGGTGAAAACTAAACTTAATTTTTTTCTCAAATTCTCCTCCCAAACTAGCTCCTTTTCTTATATTTATTAGTCAAATTGATGAAAAGACTCGCTATATAGATCCCTAAACTAATAACATCATTTCATTCTAACTTCTGATTTTATAATGTTCAATCTGTTCCTTATTCCGATTGAGGTTTCTTCTGAAATACTGGTTTGATTCCACTCTTTTTTTGCTCCTTCAGAGTTTCTTAGTCTCAGCACTATTGACATTTTGGGCTGGGTTATTCTTTGTTGGGGGGAAGAGAGGCTTCCTGTGCATTGTAGGATGTTTAACAGCATCCCTGACCTCTATTTTGTGAGAACTAGAAGTGTCCTTAGACATTGCTAAACGTCTCCTGGGAGACAAAAGTGTCCCAGTCAGAGCACCACTGCTCTACTTTGCTCGTGTCCCATAACAACAGCTCTCTGGGATTGCATAAGAGACGACACTGTACTGCTAATAGTAATAGCGACTTTTTTAACGTTTATCCTCAATTTAGTGATTGAGTTCTAAAATCTTATAGTGAGCTTCCAGGGAGTTGTACTAGGGGATTCAGAATACACAGCATTCATATCTCAGATACTCTCCAAATAGGACAGTGGTTCACGTTTGCCTTATTTAAAGGTGTTATTTATTATTAAATGAAAAGGTCTCCCTCACCACTAAACCTCACTCTGGAAAGAAGCATTTGTTTAAATGGCCTCATTTTAAAATTTCGTGCTGTTAATTGCATTCATTATGCATTTTTCTTTTTTTAAATTTTATTTATTTATCTTTAGAAGGGAAGAGAAGGAGAGAAATATCTGTGTATGGTTGCTTCTGGTGCATCCCCTGCTGGGAACTGGCCCCTGCTGGGAACTGGCCTGCAACCCAGGCATGTGCCCTGACTGGGAATCAAACCCAGATCTTTTGGTTCTCAGGCCTGTTCTCAATCCACTGAGCTACACCAGCTAG